TTACCCATGTAGGGGCTGGAGCAATAGCACAGAGGGTACAGTGTTTGCCTTGCACTCGGACGGTCCGGGTTCAATCCCTGGCATCCCATATGGTCCCCCCAATTACTCAGGAGTAATTCCTGAGTGCAGAGCCAGGAGTAACCCCTGAGCATTGCTGGGTGTGACCCAAAAACAACAACAAAAAAAAATGTTAGCTGTACGGTATTTCTAATTATACATAGTTTCATACCATGGTTGACAGATAATGGGTAAGAGTAAATCAAGGAAAGGGAAACCCCAATTACGGGTCCCCACTGTAACTGCTGATGATTTCTGGTAAGAAAGCAGAACTCTTAGCTTTGGGGCCACACCTGGCTGTGCTTGGGGTTTTCTCCTGAAGGTACTGGGTTACCATGAGGAAGAACCCAGACATCCCATATGCACTGCATGCACTCAGCCCAGTCTAAGAAAGTACATATTTCCTTGAACTCTCAAGTTCGGTCGGTATGAATTAGCAAATAGTTTAAAGGCATTCAGCCCTACTTACTCTAGATAAACTATACCTTCATACACTATATTAACATAAAAAGGCATACCAAAATGATTAGATTGTTGTAGTGTTTTTCTATCTGACCAGTTTTTCTCAAAAGGTACTATTGTTTGGTTAAAGGGATAAATTTCAATGTGCTAGAATTACCCTGATCACTAAAAAAATTAGCATTCATAACCCATGGGCATGTCAATATCATGCCCATGTCAGTATCAAAACCAAATCACTGTAATGACTAAACTACTAAGCCCTGGTCCAAAATGACCAAAAAGAAAGATCCTCAAGTGGGAGAAATATAACACCCAGCTAAGAAGTTCTGCTCATTTCAGCTGTTTCCACATTAGTTTATAAAAGGAGGCCCACCACTTCCTTTTTTTTGGGGTAGGGGAGGCGCTATTGGAAATCTACTGTAAGTGAACAAGTAGTGACCCCCAATTGCTCCCTAAAGCTACCTGTCTCAACATCATTCCAGTGGGTAATGCCCACTTTGGGAAACATGGCTTAATATGAAAAGTAGACAAAATTATTGAGTATATGTTACACACTTGTAATCATGAGGGCAAGAGCAATAGTTCAGTGGGTCGAGTGTATGCCTTGCATGTGGCAAACCCAAATTCGATACCAGGCACCCCCATATGGTCCCCCACGCACCACCAGTTGTGATCCCTGAACCAGGAGTAAGCCCTGGGTACTGCTGGGTGTGGTCCTGAAACAAAAACAGTTGTAATCACAAGCAGATAAATGACTGCTAGCAGTCACAACTCATGGATTATCAAGTCATTGCACTTCATTACATAAAGCTGTCAACAAACATCAAGACAAAAATTAAACAAACATCAATCTTTCTTTTCTCTTTTGGAAGAGGGCAAACCCTATGGTGCTTACTTCTCTGTCTATGTAATTAGTTAGGACTCACTCCTAGTGGTATCTGGGTGACCATTAGAGGGTGCTGGGGATCAAATCCGAGTCAGTCATATGCAAGGCAAACAGGCTGTACTATCACTCATGCCAAAACAAATCATTTTTAACCTTTTTAATTCTTTTAGGATGATTCTGTTGGAATGCTTTTAACTCCACAGATTACTTTCCATTTTACTACATTCATCTCAGAAATAAAAGACATGGTAAAGGTAAAGGTAAAGGCCCTCCCGTTGATCGTCGATTTGCTCGAGCGGGCCCAGTAACGTCTCCATTGGAGACTTTGTTGTTACTGTGTCTGGCATATCGAATACTCTCGGTAGCTTGCCGGGCTCTCCGAGAGGGGCGGAGGAATCGAACTCGGGTCGGCCATGTTGGCCGCTTGTAAGGCAAACGCCCTACCGCTGTGCTATCGCTATGTGCGTTAAAAGACATGAATGACCATTTAATAAAAATTTCACATCTGCACAAGGTACACTCGATTACTAGCCAGGATCCTTGAACCAGAGACTATAATCAGGGGTGCCTACCCTCGGGAGAACACTAGCTCAAAGGAACACAGTAACTAGTCAAAGGAGTTCCAATCACAGTGAATTTTCCTTATGCTAATGTGAGATCTAAAATAAATCAATGCAAGAAACAGCTTTTTGGCATTTCTATATTTTTATTCTAAAATGATTTTAAGAAAATTGAGAAACATCCACAACACTACCCAGATTAAAGTTAACATGTAAAGGGTTTTTTAAATGTAAGATTTTTGACAGGCATCCCCATATGCCCATCCTCTATCACCTTATCTTCCTCCCACTTAAGCTTTAAGCAAATGTTCATGTAAATAAGCAAAAGTGGGGCAAGCTTCCAGGAATCATCCCAGTATTAAAAAATAAATTAAAATAAAATAATCAAGAGAAAAATGAACCTGTCTTTCATTCCTTTTCAATTTCTCAAAATAGGTAGGATAATTCCGACCTCATTTAGAAGAGAAAAATCTATAATCTATGTAACTTCTATTTTTTGGGGGGGTGCTTCACTATATTCTCTAACCTGACCTTTCACTGAGGTAAGAATTCAGAATATAAACTAAAATTTAAAAACAAAACATAGATTACACAAACACTGAGCATCAACACATATAACTTGGAAGCACACTCGCAAATATTTCTTCATATTTGCCTTTTCAATCATGTAAATATTTCATTTAATAATAATATATGAAATTATAATAATCTCAAGGTTGGAAAATAAGACATTATGCCTGGCTCTATATTTCTAGCATTGTTCTCAGACTGCTTTAATAAAATAATTATTTAACAAATAAATCAATAAATTTAATAAATTCTATTGCCTTATTCAACCTATCAAAATAGTAATACTAATCAAGACACAATTTGAAAAGAACAATTGTTTCAAGTCAACTCCCATTTGATAAGATCAGTAAAACATCAATTTAAACACACACACAGAATATGTTCGCAAACACATATGAAATGTTCAAGGAGATCAAACATCAAATATACCTGGACCTATTCAAATAACGGAGAATGCTTTCATATGCTTTTAAATCACTGTGGGATAAAATATAGCTCATTGTATATTAAATATTCCATTTAAATTTGTAAACCTATTGTGTATTGCTATGTCATGTAGGGTAATATATTTTGTGTATAGTAAGAGAAATCACAATATGGCTATCAGAAAATTAACCATAATGACAAAAAAATTGTTCCATATATTTAAAATATTTTCTAAAAAATACCTTTATGTTATATACTTTCAGAAAAATGGAGCTTGCTTGAGATTTCAGTTTCCTAAATTAATTCTGCCAATAGTGTAGGTCAAGAATATTCTGCCTTAACCCCACAGTGGACACTATTATTTAAGACATCTTTCAGCAAAGCTAGATTTTATTATTTGTCACTGATTAAAGGAACTCTATTCACAGGTGCCTTGTTTTATATCTAAAAGAAGGGGCAGGGGAGAGAATGAGCTGGACTGCCAGGCTAACGAAACTGGTAAATTTCAACAACTCTTGAAAATTAAAATTCAAAACAATGATAGAATCACTCTCATTTTGCCATTAGGTCATTCACCAAGACCTAAGTGAGTAGGTTTCACCGGGCCTATGTAAGTCCATGATCATGGTCAGCCTATAATGGCTCCAATTTAAAAAAAAATGAACCACCGTCAAATAACGACAATAATGTGCATAGAACAATAGACTTTTTTTTTTGTATGGGCTCAAGTACCCTTGATCTTAAAGAAAAGAATTCAGAACTCGGATGCTTTTATTCAAAATAGAAGTGAAAATATAACCTGCTCTGAAATACTAAGAGGATCGATCCTTGGGTTGAGTATCTTTGCGGAACAGCTGGTCTAGACGATACACTTGCAAGTGAACTCTAAACGTGATGGGTACAATGTTGTCTTCCTCCAGAAAACCAGGCAACCACTACTTTCACTAACTAGCCCGCCGGCAAAGGAGCCCCTTGACATCTTTCAAAGGCTATCTGATGAGATTTGCATGCAAACATGGATTCAACTCCCACCACACCCCCAATTTCCAGGGGGCTAAAGGTGCCCGCCGTTCGCACGCCAAATGCAGGGGGGAGTGGGAGCGGAAGGGGGGGGCGGGGGTACCAGCGCAGTTGGCGGGGAGAGCCGCGTCCGGGTACAATGGGGAGGAGAGGTCTGTCCCCTGCCCTGGCCGCCGGTCCCAGAGCGGCGAACAGGGCAGGCTCCGAGGCGGGACTCAGCCAGGGGGTGGGGGGGGGGACCCGGGAAGGAGCGGGCTCCCGGGTGGAGGGGGGGACGCCGCCGCCCCCGAGGGACAGCTGCCCCTCCCGGACCAGGACAGCCCCCTGGGCCGAGGAAGGAAACGGCGCGTCGGGCCGGCGCGGGTAGCCCAGGGGAGCCGGTCCGCGCCCCACCGGAGGGGGTCCGTGAGCGCGCTCCCTCGCGGGCGCGCGCTCAGGAGTGTGCAGGGAAGAGGGGGGCGCCTCGGAAAAAAAAAAAAAACACCAACAAAGGCCCCTTCAGTCCCGCGGCGAAAGTCCTGCAACAAAGGCCCGGAGACAGCGGAGAGCGCGCGCGGGGCCGGGCGGCGGGGAGCCGAGGGAGGCCCGGGGCTGGCAGCGCGGGGCGCGCGGGGGGGACAGCGCGCGGGGGTCGGCGAGGGGGCGCGCGCCGCCCTCCGCCCGGCACAATAAGAGGCGGCCGACTAAGACCCGAGGCTCCCCGCCCCCAGAGCTTTCGCTCGCGGCGCCTCGGGCTTTGGAGAGAGTGTGGGGGGGTCCGGCACGGCCCCGGGGAGGGGGGATTCTCCGCCCCGGCCGCAGCTCCCTTCTCCCCTCCCGCCCCCCGCCCCCGCCCCCAGCCCGGAGAGCCCCGCCGCCGCCGCCGCAGCCGTCGCCACACAAAGGCGCCTTCCGCGACGCGGCGGCCGACGGCGCGGGGCAGCCGCGAGCACCGCCGCGCGGCAGCCGGGCGCGAGCCCGTCCGACTCTCCTCCCCGGTCGCCGGGGAAAGGGGGAGGGGACCCTCGGGGCGCCCTCACCTGGCACAGCTGCTGACAGTACTCCGTGGCCGCCTCCACGGCCGGCACCCGGCTCTCCCGCAGCTGCCGCTCCAGCTCCTGGAGCCGCTCGCCCAGGCGCTGCAACTCCGCCACGCAGCCGCCTCGGCCGCGGCTCACCCTCTCCCGCTCGGCCTCCTCGTCCGCCATCTTCACACCCCGCTCCGTCGCGTACGCACCTGGGTCACGTGATAACACAATGCCACGTTCGGCGCGGTCACGTGCCGCGCGCCCGCACGCCGCCGAGCACGTACAAAGGGGCCCGCGGCGGACGCGCGGGGGTGGGGGCGGGGGGCGGGGCGCGGGGAGCGCCCGGGAGCCCCGGAGGTGCGGGCCCGGGGAGGCAGGAGGGCGGGGTCGGGGCGGCGCGCGCCCCCGCGCTGGACTTACCCCGGGCGGGAAGCGGGCTTCGGCGGCCGGGAAGGGGGCGGGCCGGCGCGGCCCTGGTTCTCGGTCACGTGGGTGCCGCCACCGGCGAGAAAGCCCGGGAGGGGTCGTCCTCCCCGGGCGTCCAGCTCCCGGCGCGGCTTCCCTGGAGCCCCCGAGTCGTCCAAGGCCATGGACCCCGGCTCAGCAGGAGCGCGGGAGAAGGGGAGCGCCGGAGGCCGTGGGTGCCGCGGTTGCATTTGCCCTTGAAAGACCTGAAAGACGGGCCCAAGAGGCGGGCGAGTGAACCCACCCTAGGGCCCCCAGAACGGGACTGGAGCTGTCAAGATTGGTCTGGACGGCTCACCGGCCCGGGCGGGAGGGACGTTGTAGGGACTCCGGCGGTACCCGATCGCTTCCCGTTCTACTCGCTGCCTGTGCTAGCCCCGAGAACGGCTTTTCCACCCTAGAGCCAGAAGCCCGAGGGGCGGAGGCAACAAAGAGAAAATAACGTTTGGAATCCGAGCAGCATGAGGGTCCAAGTTGTCAGTGCGCAGAGCGAGCGCACAAGAGAAAGGCAGAGCTTGAAATATTTCAAAACAACGAAAGCGAACGCTTTGGAAACAAGCAAGCTTTCTAAGCCACGGGAACACATCTGGAATAAGGGATAGCTAACGCACCTCTTTCACCGTGATTTAAGACTCCCTTACATACGCTATCACCATCGCTGAAATCACGCTACTATACTGTGAAGGCGCTCGAAAAAGTAGGTCAGGAAAAATGAAAAAGAAAAAAGTATTCCATTAAAATGTTCAACCAAGGATAGGAAGCTGATGCTAAAATAAAGGAATTATAAATAAAGGAATTATAAATATCAATACCCCTTTTTTTCGTGGTGCTGCAATTAGATGACATTCTGAACCAGATTTTATTTATAACTTGGAACGTATACTTGACACTTGAACTAAACAGTAGAAAGAGGCACCACCAAAATCCAAGAGCTCAAACCTAAAGTTGGGGGAGGGAGCGAATTTTATTATCTCCCGTAACAACTGAATGGCGACAGAATTTCAAAACCAGTGATGTTAATGAGGCACATAATCTTTTTGAACATTCCAATTATTAAAGTACAAGCATTTAAAATTATTCCTATTGTCTGTAGAGTCAATTTCAAAAGATATCTAGTATTGGGGCAGGAGTCAGTTCAGCGGGTAGGGCGTTTGCCTTGCACGCGAGTATCCCGGGATTGATCCCCTGCATCCGGTCTGGTACCCCGAGCACTGAAAGGAGTAATTCCTGAATGCAGAAGCAGAAGTAACAATCTCCACGGCCCAGCATAGCCGGATGTGCCCCCCCCCCCGCACACACACCCAAGAAAAGAAATTAATAATTAAATAGAATTTAATTGGCATTGATAGAAATGGTTCTAGGGCGGAGCTGAAGAGAAAGTAGAGCAGGTGAGGCATTTGCTTTGCTAGTGTTCCACCGGGGTTCAATCCCCGGTATCCCCTATGTCGACCCCTCTCCCACGTGCTGCTTAAGTGTAGAGCCAAGAAGTACCATACTCTCCCTCAGCATCGCTGGGTGTGGCCTAAAAGACAAAAAAAAAATATGGTTCTAAGGGAGCGAGAGAGCTCAAAGGGCTGGATAATGTGGCAGCCCTCTTCCATCCCAGGCACTAAATGGTCCCCTGAGCACCTGGGGTGTGACCAAAAGAACAGAAGGAAATATTCTAATTAGTTTGTTGTCCAGAGTGAGAGTTTTGTAATTCCCCATCGGTAGCTGTGTCCTTATAAGCACTGTCTGTCCTCCCATTGTTCATCCATTTGCTTGAGTGAGTACCAGTAACGTCTCCATTGTGAGATTTATTGTTACTGTTTGGGGCATATCAAATACGCCACAGGGAGCTTGCCAGGCTCTCTACGCAGGAGGGATACTCTGGGTAGCTTGCTGGGCTCTTTGAGAGGGACAGAGGAATTGAACCCAGGTTGGCCGTGTGCAAGGCAAACGCCCTACCCACTGTGCTATCGCTCCTTATAAAATGTCATTATATAAGACAAGAAGACACAACCGAAGCCCTTATGGAAAGAAAACTATCATTAACAGTGCAATATATATGTGCAATATTATAATATTCCGTATTAACAAGATAGGTTCTTACTTAAATCATTCTTAAATCTAGTTCTGTAGTCTTTGAATGTACTCCCTAGCCTCTTCCATGAGTAAATATTTGAAGTAAGGATATAATAATCTCACTGAAAGTTAAAGGAGCAACTGGCTAATGGATTTTACTTGTGATTTGGGTCCAAGTAAAGTTTCCACAATTGACATTATCTCAAGTTAACACTAAAAATATAAAATATAACAAATATAAGATTAAACAAATATTCCAATAAATCCACGGACCATAAAGATATCAAAGATTTGCAAAGTGCATTTTCCCTTCAAGTATGATGGGTTATACTTACAATCTAAAGAAGAACAAAATGGGGGTGAGCAAAATATATCTAGAAAAGTCTCACAAAATATAATTTAAAAAAATTATTAATTCACCATGAAAGAAACAATTAAAATTTGCTCATGATTGGGTTTCAGTCATACAATGTTCCAACAACTGTCCCTTCACCAGTGTAATTTCCCACCACAAATATCCCCGATTTTCTTCTTTCCAACCCCCTCCCCTCTAGTCTACATTTACAGATACCTCTCTCTCTCTGTCTTACAGACACCTCTCTCTCTCTCTCTCTCTATCTATCTATCTGTCTAATCTATCTATCTCTATCACTCTCTCCCTCTGTCATTATGGTTTAAGGTACAGGTAATGTAACCCCTACTTTTCACACTCAATTCTTGTCCAGAGTGATCATTTCCAACTACCATTGTCATAGTGGTCCCTTCTCTGTCCTAACTGCCCTCTGCCCCTTCCCCCAAATTGTGACAAGCTTCCATCCATGGGCCAGTCCTACTGGCCCTCAATATATGATTTTTAAACAATAACCTGAAGACCAGGAAAATAGGTCCCAGGGCTAAGCACACGTTTTGCATGCGGGAGTCCCTGGCACCAAATGGTTCCCAGCATACCCCTAGAATTGTATCACTTACCGTATCACAGATATGGCCCCCAAAACAAAAAAGTGAATAAATTAAGTAAATAGCTTGGAAATTAAGTCATTACCAAGGCCTGTCCTCCTGAGACCTAATATCAAGGAGATTTGATTAACAAATTGAATTGTGAGTTCTATTAGTGTCTTGAAAATATCCCTCATTCTGCCTTTGACTCTCCTAACCTGTCCTTGGTGTCTTTGAACCTCATCTTTCTGTTCCTCTGGTTACTCCCCTTTACATAGGTACAGAAATGTATGGTGCCTATGGGAAATAAATATAAGAACTAAGAGTAAGTGGTAGGATTTAATAATCAATTGTTTGGGAAAATCAGAACTGGATTAAAGAAGATTTGTGGCAACCAGATCCTTTTTATCTTTAAACAAAACTGCTTTAAAGAAGCATGCAGGAAAAAAAAGGGGGGGGGGAGACTGGAGCGATAGCACAGCGGGTAGGGCGTTTGCCTTGCACACGGCCAACCTGGGTTTGATTCCCAGCATCCCATATGGTCCCTCTGCACTGCCAGGAGTAATTCCTGAGAGCCAGGAGTAACCCCCATGCATCGCTGGGTGTGACACACAAAAAAAATTAAATTAAATTAATAAATAAAGAAGCATGCAGGATGTTTTGGCTTGGGGACCACACCTTGAGGTGCTCTAGGGCTATGCACAGCACAGGTGAACCGGCCCAGACCTCCACCCCCACTCCATACCGTGGGAACTAACCCTGGTCTCCTGCATGCAATGTGGTTTGCCCTTTGAGCTAACTCTAAGGCTCCTGGAATCAAGCGGTTTTGTCTAAGTGACAGCAAAGCCTACAACAAACAAGATTCTATTATGCAAGCGAAAGTCTACTCAAAATACACAGGTATTCTCACTAAGGCTCAAACGTGAAAGTCCACTGACTCTCTCCAGAAATGTAGGTTCAAAATAAATAAGAAGGATTGGTGATACTCTTCCAGGACATGTTGGCTCTCTTGGAGATCTCAGAAATCTCATGTTTATTCATAGGAAAGGTGCAGGAACAAGTACATGCCTTATTTTTAGGCAAGTGCATTTGTATCTCTCTGTCTCTCTCTCTCTCTGTCTCTCTCTCTTTCTGGCATTTTGGGTCACAACAGTGATACTCAGGGGTTACTTCTGGCTCAGCACTAAGGAATTACTCCTGGTAGTGCTCAGGGGACCATTGGATGCCAAGGATTAAACCCAGGTCAGCCGCGTGCAAGCCAGCCCCCCATTTGTTCTTCAGATACCAAATTTTCAGTCCATCAGAATCCTTATACACACATACTACTTACAGAGATATTTTCTGGGGGAATGAATTCAGAGACCTGTGTCTTAGGGCAGAGAATATATAAACCCAAAGGCTAAAGGCCTCCACTGCCTGTATGGGGAACTGAATACCCGCACAGGAGTGCACATGCTCAATTGGAGCGGTGGGGCAATAGGATACTATCAACTCTGACACCCACAGATCAGATTTTAGAGGAAGTCTGGGACACATGAGAGAGGTCCACCTTGCAAAGCATAAAGCCTAAAGCTAGGAGATCCTTAAAGGACAGATCTCTCTCTCTCTCTCTCTCTCTCTCTCTCTCTGTGTGTGTGTGTGTGTGTGTGTGTGTGTGTGTGTGTGTGTGTGTGTGTGTCTCCTTTTGGGCATTGTGGTTTGCAAAATTGATACTGAAAGGTAATCGAGAATATCCC